CTTTGTGTCCCCAACACTTAGGACCATGCTAGGTACAGAAGAGATACTATTTATTTATTGAATTGAAGTGAACCGCATATGAGGCCAGGAGGAGCAGCCCTGCTCCCCACCACCTCTCATCTTTACACTCCCCTGTCCCCAGATTCCAGTAGACTGGCTCCACGTTAATTGAATCCAGCCCTGACAGCAGGGTGGTCATCACCCTTCGGTCCACCCGTCCTCTGGCCTTCGGTTGTGGGGAAAGTGTGTGGGCTTTGCAATCATGTGGATCAAGGTTAAAATCTTTGTTTTACCATTTCTAGCTACTCACTTTACGTCTCTGACCCCCCATTTCCAATGCAAAATACCTCCTGAGATCATTATATGAGATAACATAAGGAAACCACCTAGTTTATAGTAGATGTTCAGCAGAGGCCCGTTCACTATGCTTAATCTTTTTGAAAATTCTTCATAAGGCCTGAGAAGAGTGGGTCCCTGACAGGCACTTTTATGACAGCCTACATAACTCAGGGCTAGACTACCAGCCCTGGTGGTCTAGTGGTTAAGATCCAGCGCTCTCACTGCTGTGGCCCAGGTTCGTTTCCTGGTCAGGGAACCAGACCACCCGTCTGTGGGTTGTCACACTGTGGCGGCTGCATGTGGCTGTGATGCTGAAAGCTGTGCCACGGGTATTTCAAACACCAGCAAGGTCACCCATGGTGGACAGGTTTCAGCAGAGCTTCCAGACTAAGACAGACTGGGAAGAAGGACCTGGTCACTCACTTCTGACAAAATTGGCCATGAAATCCCTACAAATAGCAGCGAAGCATTGTCTGATATGGTGCCGGAAAGGGGGAGGATGGTGCAAAAAGACCAGATAGGGTTCCGCTCTGCTGAACACAGGGGCACTAGGAATTGGAATGGCACTAACAACAAAAACACAGCTCAAACCTATCAGAGCAACCAAAAGTGCCATCTGCCTCGACACTTCTAAATTATTTAGATTCAAATCTGAGGCTTTCTCAATTGGTGTTTTTTTTTTTTTAAGATTTTATTTATTTATTTATTCCCCCCCCCTAAAGCCCCAGTAGATAGTTGTATGTCATAGCTGCACATCCTTCTAGTTGCTGTATGTGGGACGCCGCCTCAGCATGGCCAGAGAAGCGGTGCGTCGGTGTGCGCCCGGGATCCGAACCCGGGCCGCCAGCAGCGGGGCATGCACACTTAACCACTAAGCCACGGGGCCGGCCCCTCAATTGGTGTTTTTTAAAAATAAGGAGTGTTTCAACTTTGAGCCCCTTGTGCACTCTTAGTAGAAATGTAAAATGGTGTATCTGCTATGAAAAACAGTATGCCAGTTTAAAAAATTAAAAATAGAATTAACATATGATCCAGCAATTCTACTTCTGAGCATATATCCAAAATAATTAAAAGTAGGGTCTCAAAGAGGTATTTGTACACCCATTTTCATAGCAGCAGCATTCACAATAACTAAGAGGTGGAAGCAACCCAAGTGTCCATCAATGGATGAATGAATGAATAAAATGTGGTCTATATGTTACTGCACAAAATTTGGGTTCTCTGCCTGATGCACATAAACAAGCCAATTAATTATGGTACCAGTCTTTGAAGGGAGAAATCAGCTTTATTCTGCAAGATCAATCTCCAGGGAGATAGGGGGCATGTGCCCTCAGATCTGTCTCCCCAGTTCAGGATTTGGGACAAAATTTAAGAGGTTAGGGAGAACAGGTTGGCATGCAGAAACGCTGGTGGGACAGGTTTTGATTGCTGGGCTTCAGGTATTTACGATAAGGTTTTAAACATTTATGATGAGGTTCTAAACATTTATGATGAAGTTGGGAAGAAATTGTAACACCTGATCTTCCTGAATGAGGGACCCCTCGCTTCTGATAAGAGTCTGGCTTTCAAGTTCCGGTTGCATCCAGGTCCTTGGTTCTGTAGAAGGAGGATCTTTGGTTATGAGGTTGTTTCAGGTCACGATTTCTTCTTTTGCGCATGCCCTGGCTACGTGACTTTGCAGTTTTTCTGAAAGACAATCTTTAATCACTTTGTTGCTAAGAGATGGGGTCTGTTCGAACTGGCTCTAAATGGGCCCGTGGTTACATATATATACAATAGGATAGTATACAAAGGAAATTCTGACACGTTACATCATGAGTGAGACTTGAGAACATTATGCTAAGTGAAATAAGCCAGTCACTAAAAGACAAAAACTGTATGAGTCCACTTATATGAGGTATCTAAAGTAGTCAAACTCATAGAAACGGAAGGTAGAATGGCGGGTGCCAGGGGCTGGGGGGAGGGAGGGATGGGTAATTTTTGTCTAATGGATATAGAGTTTCAGTTTTGAAAGATGAAAAAATTCTAGAGACTGGTTACATGACAGTGTGAATACACTTAACTCTACTTAACACTTAAACACTTAACACTTAAAAATGGTTAAGATGGTAAATTTTATGTTATGTGCAACTTACCACAATTAAAAATAAAAAAAAATAAGGAGTGTTTCTTGGATGTTGGCATGAGGCAATTAGTTGAGGAGAGAGCATTTAGGACACATGGGTTCATCTAAGCTACTGAGATTCTACGTGATCCAAATTCTAATGGCTCCCAAATGTTTTCTTCGAGCCCCTGAACTTCAAATTCAGAGTCATCCATGTAACTGCGTGTGCCCACCTCCACTGGAATGCCAACAGGCATTTCTAATATGGGAGATCAAAATTGGCCACCCTGAAATATATCTCTTTACCTTGATTATTTTCTCTGACGGACATTTGACTCCCGCCACCCCCCCACTAACTGCCTAACAGAACTTAACTCTGGGTATGGACAGACTGGCAGGGTCCTCGATAAGCCCATTCTTTTCAAAGTTCTGTTTACAAAACATTAAGATTTGTAAAGTTGTCTTCCTCTGTGTGCTGGGAAGAGAGGGGGAATGACGTTATCTCTGGAAACTCTTATCAGGATGAAAGAAGGAGACTTAAATCTACATACTCTTGATTACTGTGATTTCTGTTTGTCTGACCACATTCTCTATAGGTGGCCCTGCAAAGCATTGTCTGACAAACATTTACATTTCCCTCTTCTTTTTTTTTTTTTTAATAATTTTATTTATTTATTTATTTTTTCCCCCAAAGCCCCAGTAGATAGTTGTATGTCATAGCTGCACATCCTTCTAGTTGCTGTATGTGGGATGCGGCCTCAGCATGGCCAGAGAAGCAGTGCGTGGGTGCGCGCCCAGGATCCGAACCTGGGCCGCCAGCAGCAGAGCACGTGCACTTAACCGCTAAGCCACAGGGCCAGCATTACATTTCCCTCTTCATGTGAATAGTCTTCTTCCCCTCTGAAATCCCAAACGGCCACCCCCAACATGCTCCTTTGTCTTTAGCTGAAGATAATATTTAAGACGAGAATCTCTGCTATTGTGTTGAGAAACTCAGTTTCTCTGGTTTCTCCCATGTATACATGTTATTAAACTTGGTATTATTTTCCCCTGCTAACCTGTCTTTTAATTATTTGGCCAGCCATAAGAACCTTAAGGGAGAGGGTGGAGGGGACTTCTCCCTCTTCCCCCACACTAACTTTGACCCTGTCCCTCCACATCTTTCCCATGTCAGGAAATGGAGCTACCACCCACCCAGTGGCTCAAACTGAAAACCAGGGACTCATCTTTGACTTTCCCTAAATCCCCATATCTGGTCCGTCTTCAGGACATCCCCCTCTCTGAAAATACATTCCCCCCTCCCATTGCAGTAGTCGAGGCTGCCATTATCTCTCTGTGAGGCTGGGCTAGTGCCTCCTGCTTCCACCTTCATCTCCCTTTCCCCACACAGCAGTCTCTCCCGTGTGCTTTAAAAAATGTGAATCAGGTCCTTCCACTTCCTCTACTTAAAATATACTGTCTTTTGGGGCCAGCCCGGTGGCGCAGCAGTTAAGTGCGCCCACTCTGCTGTGGCTGCCCAGTGTTCGGATCCCGGGCGTGCACTGACGCACTGCTTGTTAAGACATGCTGTGGCGGTGTCCCATATAAAGTGGAGGAAGATGGGCACAGATGTTAGCCCAGGGCCAATCTTCCTCAGCAAAAAGAGGAGGATTGGCATGGATGTTAGCTCAGGGCTAATTTTCCTCACACACACACACACACACACACACAAAAAACCAAAACAAAACATACTGTCTTTTAAATGTTTAGAATAAAAACTAAATCCTTTCCATGCCTAATATCCCTTCATGGTCTAGCTCCTGCCTGCTTCTCCGACCTTATCTTCCCCACATCCAGGGTCTCTGTATCTGTAGAATGAGTACATCATCAATCATCTCTACCACATTGTGAGCATCAGTGAGGGGCTAGGCCAAGTGCCTCACACACATGACCTCAGACAGTCCCCGCTACAGCCCAAGGAGGTAAGTGTTAGGAACCCTAAGACTGTAGTGAGGATTAAATGAGAGTGTACGATGCTGGTGCGCAGTGAGTGCTCAACAAATGTTCTATTTTCTCCAACGTAGGGAGAGAGTGTCTGTAGCCCTGACACATCTACCCTGGTCAGGGACCACTGTCCCGTGTTCTGCCCTCTTATCCACTGGTCTAACCATCTGCCCATAGGGGGAGCTTGAGCCAAGAAGGGTGAGCTAGTGCTCACTAGCTCTCTGGGGGCAGCGAGGTGGCTGAGAGAGTTAAGATGCCGCTTCCCAAAGCCTGGCCTTCCGCATCCGCACGTCTGCCCTGTGGTTTAATGGGAAATCCAGGCACTCCATAAGAGACTGTACAAAACACTTCCAGGGCACCACTAACTCATTCAGCAGAAAGAGACCCAGAGCTGCCAATGCTTCAGGGAAGAGAAGTCAGTGGAAAGAAGGTGGTTCTACAGCGTCAGGCAGAGGGAAGTGTTTTGTGAGGCGGCGGAGTGTGACCCCGCCCCTGCAGCGGCTCCGCTCCTCAACCCCTCTCTTCACGGTATTTGATTAGTAATTTGGGGGCGGGACCCTGGCCTGGCACAGACACGCACACTCTCAGTCGACACTCCTACTTCTCTCTCTGTCTCTCACACGTTCTCCAGCCAAGGAGGCCAGACAGAGGGACGTGGTCACTCGGAAAGGTTCAACTCGAGGTAAGTTCAGTCGTTTTGCTTCAGTTTTTGTGTCTCGTAGTTCCATGAAGGAAACAAAGGAAGGGGCTGGGGAGTGGGGAGAGGGGCAGGCAGGGAGGAGCCATTCCTCCTTCTCCCCTTCTGGGCCATGATCCCAAGAGGCTGGAGAGGGGCAAAGGCTGAGCAGAAGGAAGGGGTTCCAACAGGCTGCCTTTATCCTACAGTTCCTTTCTGGTTGCTGGGGGGACCTCCAATTCTCAGACATGAAAAAGTGAAGGACCAGGTATCTAGAGAATCCAGCTTTGCCCCACTACGACTCATACACCCCGCCATCCTAGCCCCCTGTCCCTGAAGTCTCTCTGTGGTACCTACATGCTGTTTTGGGGGGCAGGAGGAGTTTGTGTATTGTGTATTGTGTGCACATGTTTTGCTGGGGTGAGAGGGAGAGAATAAAGAGAAGTGTTGAGAATTGACTGTGTCCAGGGAGCTGTGAAGTGGGGGTCCAATCCAGTGAGGTGATGGCTTCTGGTTTGACTTCTTTGACTCTCATAGGAGGGAAAGATGGTCCTCTAGAGCAGAGAAATGAAAGAACAGCAGTAACTCCTGAGTAAGCCAGACGCATCTCATAGAGTGCCTGCCTGGGAACCTTCCACCTCACAAAACTCTGAGCACAGGCGGGTCTCTAGCATTAAGAGGGGATATTTAAGAGTATACAACTCTGATGCAACATTGCTAAGAGATGGGGGTGAGGTGAGGAGAGACATAAGCTCCCCACCAAGCCCTTTCAGCCATCATGGCTCCTAAGGAGAGGCCAAAGTGGGTAGGATGCACAGCCCCTGGAGAGCTGAGTCTTAAAGAGGAAGGTGGCTCTTGTCTGCCAAGGTGCCCAGTCTAGAAGGAGAAATGGAGACAGAGGCTCACTGTGCCAGCCTCCAGACAGCCACCGTGGTCCTGCAGCAGCCCAGGGCTGTGTATGGAAATATGCGTTGTTGGCAGTGGGCCACTCTCTCCATCTTCTCTCCTGGCCAGAAGCAGTGCCGAGCCAGCATGCCCAGGCAGTGGGCAGTTGGGTCAGCTTCTCAGAAACACTGTGGTCTCTTTGTCTGAGACCTCAGGCTGCCTGAGGCTGAGCCAGGGTGCCTCTCCTCTGTAGCCCAGAGGCTGGTAGGGTGAAACGGGCCTAAGGGAACTGCTTTCAGGGGACGGGGATGTCTAGGAGGGATGATTGGCCAGAAGGTGACTAGATTGAGTGTCACAGTAGGGGTCCCTTCCATCAGTTCATTGGATTTGATGCTGGCTTTTAGACTCCTTTCTTTCTCCTGTCCCCAGATGCCAATCCCAGCAAGGCCCAGCAAAAATGTGAGGGATATATGTGACTCTTCTAGGACCAAGAAAGGTTCTAAGGTTTCTCCATCCAAGAGTGGCACTCACACCTCTGGAAGGTACCCATTGCTCACAGGGACTATGCATTGCATTGGCTATAGGTATTTGGAGTAGGGTCCCCAGGCCCGAAATGCCAGCCCCTGGTCCCTCATCTTCCACACCTTCAGCTTCCCTCTCAGATGACACCAAACCCACACTTCTCTCCAAGTCTGCCCTGTTCTCTTCTCACCAGCATACAAGCTCAAAGGCAACAGGCTGCCTGGCAAGGTGGGAGGCCTAGATATGGAGCCTGGTAACCCAGATGTCATCACAGGCAGCTTGTGATGGGAGGGGGGGATGCCAGAATCCCATTCTAAAGCTACATTCCCTTGGGCACACACAAGAGGCTTTAATTCCTGCTCTATTTTTTGGTGTTCCTCATTCATTTCTCTTGGCTGCACATGGCTCTTGCATAATATCCAAGGTGGAGCATAAGAAGTGCTAACACTTTGCTAGACACCATGGAAGACAGCCAAGTGCACTGGCTCAGACTCCATGCACTCAGGACCCACCCGAGAAGACAAGTGCCATACCTGGTTGCCAGTATCCCCAGTCTGGAGGGGATCTGTAACTGTTACATGAAGACCCTATGCCAGCCAAGTTGCATGTGTAGCCACAAACTGCTAACCAGAGAGCTTTCTCACCCAGCAGACTGTCACAGACGCTGGCACTTTGAAGGGTAGCCCAGGCCTTGTGGTGGCTGCAGAGGGACCATACCCCTCCCCAAAGCCTCAAAACCAGAAACACCCAGCCTGCCCAAGAGATGAAAAGATCTTCCAGAAGTAGTTCAGATCTTCCCCTTTGAGGTCTCAAGCCACTTCTGGAGGTTTCTCAGAGACATGGAAAGAGCCAGAGGGCTTCTTCCTTGGACTCTTGAAAAATATTATTTTCCTGGGGAGTCCAAACTGGATGTGAATTCAGGCCTAAAGAGCACCCCTCCCCAACCCTGCCCTCACCCCCGCAGGGATTGCTGTAGGCTTTCTCCCAACAGAACCTTCGTGCTGCTAGAGACTCCTAAGGACCTGCCCCTTCAAAAACGGCAGTGTCCCCCATTCAAGTTTCTTCTAATCTCAAAGACTCTATTTCTGTGACTCTATGTCCAGGGGAAAATGGACCTAGCTCCCCCCAGGTAGCCAAGGTCCAGATGGACCAAGTGTGCAGAGCCGGCACCGGGAGGAGGCACAGAGGAAGTGGGAGCAAGGCTCCTGCCCTCAGACACTGAAGTCGGGTCTGCATAGCTCAAAGCCTAAGGCTTGCCTGCTTTGGCTCTCTGCCTCCCTAGAGTCTCACTCATGCCTGCTTGCTCTGTTCTCTCTCCCTTTTGCAGAGAGACAAAATGCAGTGGGCCTCTCTCCTGCTGCTGGCAGGGCTCTGCTCTCTCTCCCGGGCCCAGTATGATGAAGACCCCCACTGGTGGTTCCACTACCTCCGTAGCCAGCAGTCCACCTACTATGATCCCTATGACCCTTACCCTTATGAGCCCTATGAGCCCTACCCCTACGGGGTGGAGGAAGGCCCTGCCTATGCCTACGGCTCTCCACCCCCACCAGAGCCCCGCGACTGCCCCCAGGAGTGCGACTGCCCACCCAACTTCCCCACAGCCATGTACTGTGACAACCGCAACCTCAAGTACCTGCCCTTCGTCCCCTCTCGCATGAAGTATGTCTACTTTCAGAACAACCAGATCTCCTCCATCCAGGAAGGCGTCTTTGACAATGCCACTGGGCTGCTCTGGATTGCTCTCCATGGCAACCAGATCACCAGTGATAAGGTGGGCAGGAAGGTCTTCTCCAAGCTTAGGCACCTGGAGAGGCTGTACCTGGACCACAACAACCTGACCCGGATGCCTGGCCCGCTGCCTCGATCCCTGAGGGAGCTCCATCTCGACCACAACCAGATCTCAAGGGTCCCCAACAATGCTCTGGAGGGGCTGGAGAACCTTACAGCTTTGTATCTCCAACACAATGAGATCCAGGAAGTGGGCAGTGCGATGAGGGGCCTCCGGTCACTGATCTTGCTGGACCTGAGTTACAACCACCTTCGGAAGGTGCCTGATGGACTGCCCTCAGCCCTTGAGCAGCTGTACCTGGAGCACAATAATGTCTACTCTGTACCTGACAGCTATTTCCGGGGCTCGCCCAAGCTGCTGTATGTGCGGCTGTCCCACAACAGTCTTACCAACAACGGCCTGGCCTCCAACACCTTCAACTCCAGCAGCCTTCTGGAGCTCGACCTCTCCTACAACCAGCTGCAAAAGATCCCCCCCGTCAGCACCAATCTGGAGAATCTCTACCTCCAAGGCAACAGGATCAATGGTGAGACCTGGGCGCAGGGAAGTGGGCGGTGGCTGTCTATTACTCTGGAAAGACCCTATTCTGAGCACTGGTAGCAATACAAAAGAAACGAGTAGGGGAACCAAAGAGTACAAATGAAGCTACCCAAAAACCAAGCCATACCCCTGTCCAAGAGGTACAAAATGGCATACTCTTAGACTAAACAGCAGTGCTAGGAAAATTCAGAGGGGAGTGGGTTGGTATGGAAGAAGACTCCCCATTAAGAGGTAAGTTTTAGTCTAGGTCTTGAGAGATAAGTGGGCATGGGCTAGAGGAATTCAGGACAAGCTGTTCTGGGAAGGGGAATTGCCACAAACAAAGGAACCAGTCATTTAATGGGTCACCTTGTTAAAACAGTCATTTAACCAGGGAATTCATGTGTCCATGAATTCTTCCATAAGAGGAAGGGGTCCTGTACTGAGGAGCAGTGAGAGATGAGTTTGGAGAGGTTTGGCAGAGCGCATTTCATAGAGAGGGGGATTTCACTTGAACTTCTAGGGTTCATCTTGGAAGGAAGGTGGGCTGCTAAGAAACTATGGTGTCTGTACTTACTCACCAACCCAGAAGATGATGAGATGAGCTCTCTGTTTCCACACATTCTACTCCTGCCTCTACAGCCTGGTCTTGTGTTTGGGTGTTTGTTTTTTAAACATAACAGCTAGTGGACAAGAATGTGCAGCCTCTCCGAGCTGAATGAGGTGTTCGTTCTGGTCATTTCTCCCTGGAGCACAAGGAGCCCCTGGTGGCAGGGTAGGGCAGATGTGCTCCTGGGGTAATGTGAACCTGACAACCACAGAGCCCTGGGGTGATGGGCAAGGACACTGGGCTTCCTGTTTTCCAAGCACTTCCCTGAAAATGTCTAAAGGAACGAAAAGGGCTGCCTCTCTGTCCCTAAGAACTAAAATATTCCTTTCAGATTGGGTTATCTAGTTACCAAGCTCCCTCTCCGGGATCTTGTGTTCAGAATGTGCTTACATTACCCCAGGGCCTCTGATGTCTTAACTGCAGCTGGAAGGTACTGAGCCAGAATTTAACCTTCCGTCCTCTGTCAGCAAAGTTCCCCTCACCCTGGGGAAAGAAGGACTCATTAATGACCACTGGTGAGGGCTCGGAAGTGGAACCTGCTGAGTGCGGCAGCAGCATCAAAGTGCTGATAGGGGCTGAGTCGCCCTCTCCATCTCCACCCTTTCTCTCCCTGTGCTCAGGGAGCAGATCAGTCATTTGGCAGGATGTTAAGCTAGACAGCCCTCTGAGTGAGAGGCAGCAGTCCCGGAGGCTGACGGGGGGAGGGCAAGGGGAAGCTGCGTCTTGTCCTCTAGTTTGAAGTGCAAGACACCATCAGGCACAGTCCGAACTCTTTTGTATTTAACGTCTCTTTTTGGGCCTTCTCATTCCTGAGGGGGTGGTTCTCTAGGACGTCTCTGAGATGTTGTGTGCTGCAAAGGGTTTGACATTTACTTGTAGCTGTCCATCTTCACACCAAGAAGTCATCACTACTTACCTGCCACCCACTCTGGGTCCAGAAGGATTGTCACATCAGAAATGTCATATTGTATGCTGTGCTTGACCCTGAAAATGTGGCAGCAAAGAGCAGCTGTCCTGGGAGAGAACCCACTAGTTATTGCCTAACTACACAATCAGAGACTCTTGGGGTGGGAAAGGCTTCATCCAGCATCTTGTCACCATCCTGCAAAACCACCTTGCCACTTGAACACAAAGTGGCCCAGCCTTCCAAAAGCTCTGCACAGGATAAAACCACTTTAGTAAAGTGTCCCAAGGTCTTGCAAGAAGGTTCCCTTGTAAGTCAAACAACCTAAAAATTTTCAGTGTCTACTCCAAATCCCTTCTTGTGTAATTTAAGGCAAATCCCCTTTATCTAGTTATCATGTAGTCTCTCTCCCAGTCTTCTTTTTAGGCAAAATAATGCTAATTTCTTAATTTAATTTTTCTTAAGTTAGTGAATTAGTACATGTAAAGTACTTGGTCCAGGGCCTGGCACATAATTGAAAAACCAGTGCACAATAACTATTTTTATTAGCTATTCTTCTCATCGCCACTTTGAAGGTGACAAGCATAGTTTGTTTTGTTTTATTTTTTGCATCAGCAAGATGAGGAAATGGAGACACAGAGAAGGAAAAGCAATCTCTCTAGGTCACCTAGACTATGTAGTTTAGAGCCCTGAACCCCTGCCTTCAATATCCAAGGACCTAGAGCCGGGCATCTCTGGCTGAGAATGTGAAGACTATCTCTCTGATTCAGACCACCAGCAGGAAACACAGTGGCCCCAGCTCAGCCCCCTCTCCTGGGGCAATTGTGAGGGCTGTCTCCCTGCACAGCTGTCAGGGGCCAGGAGTGGGGGTGGTAAAGGGAGAATTGCAGCAACCCTCTGAGGGAGGAGCTCAAGAAAGACAGGAGCTAAAGGGCGTGCAGGGGGGACAAGACCTGGTCCTCCTCCTCCCCTTCCTTCTTCCATTAGCATCTCCCTCAGTTTTTCCAGCCTGGCAACAGCAAAGCAACACAGCTCAGAATGTTATTCAGTAGCTTTGAGATCCAGTGGAGCAGGGCCGGGTATACCAGGAGGAATTTGGAAAGACTTATGTCAGTATTTAATCTGGGCTGGAAAATGTCCTCCAGAGTCTCCAAGCAGAAGCCCTCGCTCTTCCTGAGCTGGGGAAGACAAACAGGAGGGCCCAGAGTGCCCCGTGTGTGGACAGAATCTACATATACAGTGTGTCCAGCAGCCCCCAAGGACGCCACATATTTATACAGGCAGAGTTGGGATCCAGGATTCTAGCAGGTGGTTCCAGGTGGGGGAGAGAATCTATCACAGAACCTCTAGCACAGTCCCAAGTAGGGGTGGAAGTGGTCCTGAAGCTGGGCCACTGCACTTCTGCCCAGTTCACCCCACTCCACCTTCTACACAGACGCCGCAGACCAGCCCCGCCTAGGTTCTGCCCCAGCTGCTCGCTTGGAGGCTACGCCCTCTCTTCCCTGGGACCAGAAAGGAGACATTCCAGATCTTCTCCCCACTCCAAGTGCCCTCCAAAGAAGGTTCTTCCTGGTCTCCCCACTGTTCTCACTGTCTCATTCTTCTCTGGGGCTGGATCTTCTGTCTTACGTTTGCAGTACAAGTTAATTGGCTGCAGCCTCACCCCATCTCACCTTGTCAGTTTTTCACACATGCTGGAAACAATTGATAGTGCGATCCTAACAATACTGTCCGCATCAGCCTATTTAAGCTTTCCATGTAGTCTTCCTTGTAACCTTCATTTTCACACCCATAACCTCTCCCTCCGTGTCGCACTCCATGGTGGCCCGTAGGAAGAGAGTCAGAAAAGCCTCCTCCCACTCTTCCCGCCCAGCCCCAGGCTGACACACAGCCCCTGACCACTGTGGCAAGCAGAGGACTGCCTCTGGTGGAAGCAAAAGCAAAGCCCAGCTCTGGGTCTGCCCAAGTGTCACGGACTCAAGATGTCCCCATGCTTGATCCTACCCACAAGACACAATGGGTAACTTCAGCCAAGCCCCTGTCATGGCAGCATCTTCCTGAAGCCTCAGGCCCCACACTGAAGGCAGCCGGCAGAGGTGGCCGCAGCTTCTCAGTGGTGACGTTTGCTGTCCCTGCTGGAGTTTTAGCTGAGTTCTTGGTTTTTCCCTTTCAAGTTCCTGACTCAGTAGACTCAAGACGACGGTGGTTGATCTGTCCAAGAGGACAACCAGAGTTGGAACAGGGTGAAAGGCAGCAGAAGGATTTATGCTAAAACCAAACAGAACTATTGTATCTATTAGGATTACATGGTTTGGGGGAAAAGCTTCAAAAAGGGGAACTCTTTTAAAGAGGTTAACCATAATCATATTAGATGCAGGAGGCAGGGGAATTACTGATTTGACTTTGGAGGTCATAGCAGCCCCGTTCGTCTATGAATTTCCGTCTCCTGAACCTCAAGGCCTTGCTCACTCCTTTGACAGGATTTGGAATGGAGCAGTGCAACTCCCCAAAGCTATGCACGCAGACACTTGTCTGTCAGCCCAGGCTTTCTCGCTTTAATTTCCTGCCACCTTCTCTATCTGCACAGTGGCAGGAGATATTCCAGATTTAAGTCCCTCCATTTCCCCAGACTTCCTTCTCACAGCAATTCAGCAAAGCCCTCCTTCTCGGAAAGCAGTCAAGGCTTTCAAAGCTGCTAGGGTTGGTCTTTGACTACCCTCTGCTTCCCCCTGCTGCCCACAAATGGGAAAAGATCAGGTCCTGGCTGGAAGGACACTCAAGGACATCCAGGGTCTGCAGAGTAATGCACAGGTTGGGGGATGGCAGGAAGCGGGGCGCAGACGCAGGCAGGGACCGCCTCTGCCCCTGGTTCCGCCTCCTAGTGGTGCGAGCAGGTACGGCACCTATCCTGGAGAACGCCTGCCCCACCCAGCCCGGCTCCACCCCGAACATCACAAGTATTTCAGCAGCTTCACAGAGTCTGCCTAGCCTCGTGTGCAGCCGGGTCCCTGATCTGGCTTCCCCCACCATGCCCGCCCTCTTGTCCCCACAGAGTTCTCCATCAGCAGCTTCTGCACCGTGGTGGACGTCATGAACTTCTCGAAGCTGCAGGTGCTGCGCCTGGACGGGAACGAGATCCAGCGCAGCGCCGTGCCCGCAGATGCGCCGCTCTGCCTGCGCCTCGCCAGCCTCATCGAGATCTGACGGCCCTCGCACGGGCGCGGCTCGGAGCCCCCACCCCACTGCATTTGGCTTGATGTTTTGTTTTGGCTTTTGCTGGAAGGTCTGGGACAGACCATGTGACAGAACTCCATGGGCTCCCTCTACAGTCTTCTTCCCTGTAGGCGGGGTTAGGTAGGATGCGGGGATAGGCAGCTTCTGCTGAGGGACACGGCCAAGGCTCTCTTTTCCAGACAGAAGTGGTGGCAGAGGGAGTAATCCCTGGAAGTCCCCACCCCAGAAATCTCACTACCCTTAAGTTCTTCCCACTGATCTGGTGTCCTGAACTTTAAAAGTTGCTTGGGCAATAGTACACACCTGTACTTTTCCAACCACGCCTGACCCTCTGTGAGCAGCTTGGACAGCCCTCCCTCATGCGGGCTGGTAGTGCAGATGCTCTGGGCTCCCACTGCGGCCCCTCAGAACATACCTCCTGCCGGACGGCCTCCCCCTAAGCCCACCTCAGCCACTCAGTCTTGCTCCACAACACCTATACCTTAGGGAGAGGCAGGAGACCCCAAGGCATGTGGGCATCTGCCCAGTGGCCTGTGCAGAGAACTCGCACTTGTATCTGAGGCTGGAAGGACACCAAGTGTCACCTCTCCACCCCCCAATCTCTCCCCTTGAAGGCCACCAGATTGGAGGTCACCAGTATGATGACAATATTCAGGGCCTGATGGGGGAGGAGACAACCAACCTCAGGCTTAGACAAATGCATGGAGCTATATTTTAGCAGCTGGGTAGTTCTTTGAAGGTGGGTCAGACTTCAAAAGAGGAAAGGCCAGACTTTGCTTATCGTCAGCATCCCCAATGGGGCAGACACACCTCCAGTCGGCTGAGCTGAGGACGCAGCCCCAGTAGTTTCCTTCTGGCCCAGCGCTCTCCGCATTCCCAGCAGGTCCCACTGGGTCTTTATCCTCGAAGGCAGAGGCCATGTGAGTCTCAAAGCATGAGGAAGGTAGTCTGTCCTCTCCTCCAAGCAGAAATGTCTACATCCTGATAGGAGTGACAGACTCCAATCAGCCTTGGACTTGCCTGCTAGCCCGAAGGAGGAGGCTGTGGTTCATCTTATTAACTGATTTGTCCTCAGGCCACAGTTAAAAGTAGCAGCTCTGTCTGGAGATGCTCATTGGGTCTATGAAGCCCAGGCCAGGCAGCCAAATCTTGCCTGCGCTGAGCATGAAACCTTTTGCTTTCACATCTCTGAGCTACACCCTCATTACTAAGATGGCTGTTGCTTTATAGTTTGGCTGGAGAGTGATTAATTCTTCCCATTTCTGAAGGTAATGTTGCCTGGGGCCTAACCCACCTGTTCCAGTGGGATGGAGCCATCTGGGTAGCCAGGGGCAGAGACTGGTTGAGGAGAGCAAGCCCCAGTCTTGTTCCTGCCCAGATGCCATCATGTCCCTGATACTGTGTATGCTTTGAGGCAGCTTCCCTGAGAAGGCGAAGTGGGGGATCCTTGGACTATGTTCTTGGCTCCAGACCCTGAAATCCACAAAAGCCAAACCAGCTCATTTCAACAAAGGAGCTCTGACGTGAGGGGCAAGGCTGCCCCCAGCCCCAGGGCTCTTCAGAAAGCATCTGCATGTGGACACCATCATGCCTCTATAAAGGATCCTTATTACAGGAAAAGCATGAGTGGTGGCTAACCTGACCAATAAAGTTATTTTATGATTGCATCCACAAGAATGGAGTCATTTAAGGCAGACAAAGAAGGGTTACTTTGAGGGGACCTAGAGGGGCACATAGGCCTTGTACTGGAGAAGCCCACTTTCTCATCTATTCTGCTTGGGTAGATGTAGCTGTCGGGGGAAAAGGGAGAATCCCCCTCTGCCCTTTTCCTTAAGGTTCTTCTGGCTGGCCAAATAATCAACAAGACAGGTTAGCAGGAGAAGATAATACCAAGTTTAATAACATGTATACATGGGAGAAAGCAGGGACACTGCGTTTCTCCACACAATAGCAGAATTCTTGTCTTAAATACCATGTTCAGCCAATGACAAAGGAGGATGTTGGGGGTGGGGGGAGTCAGTTACAGGAGATTACCACTAAAGCACAGTAAACAAGAGTGAGGTTATTATGCAGATTTAAGGCCTCATCTTTTACATTGATAAGTTTCTAGAAATGAGGTCATCCCCCCTCTTCCCAATACAGAGAGGGAGATACCTTTACAAATGGAGATTTCCCTTATAAATGTAAATGTCTGTCTGGCAGCTCCTTGCAGGGCCATCCAGAGAATGTGGACAGAGACAGAACTTCTGATAAGATGGGCTTGTTGGTGCCTTTTCTATTGTGACATCTATTTTACATTATATTACAGCCATCAGATAGAAGATCTGTTCCAGGAAGTAGTTACTATGTCAAATTCTTTAGGCAGTTAGTGGGGGAGGTCAAATGTCCTCAGAGAAAACAACCAAGGTAGAGAGATAGATTTCAGGGTGGCCAAATGTTGATCTCCCACATAGCTAAGTGGTTAAAAAAAAAGTCACCTTTATAAAAGCTCTAGTTAGCAAACTTTGTGCTCTGGAAGTTCTTTTTTAAGTCTAACATCAATCCCACTAATTACACATTTCCTTCCATTTTGTTCCCCAAGAGATAAAGAACAACTGGGTTTTTTCAGTCACTCTAACATTTTTCTCCTTGGACCGTCCTCCCTCGTCAATCCAGTAATTCTGGGTCTGGTGAGTCCTGTATGTTGTTGTCTTAACTGCTCCTGCCCTCTAGTGGCAACTGAGCAGAACTGAGAGCACTCAAGCACTGCAAAGCCCATTTGGGCCTGGAAGGGGAAAAGAAGCATTCAGCGGCCCATCATTCTTTCATTCATTTCCTCAATGCACTTTTCTGGAAAGTCTTTTCTTTTTTTTTTTTTTTTTTGCTGAGGAAGACCAGCCCTGAGCTAACATCTATTGCCAATCCTCCTCCTTTTTATTTTTTCCCCAAAGCCCCAGTAGATAGTTGTATGTCATAGCTGCACATCCTTCTAGTTCCTGTATGTGGGACGCGGCCTCAGCATGGCCGGAGAAGCGGTGAGTCGGTGTGCACCTGGGATCTGAACCTGGGCTGCCAGTAGCGAAGCGCGTGCACTTAACCGCTAAGCCACGGGGCCAGCCCCTGGAAAGTCTTTAAATGCAGATGTTGTGCCAGGGGCTTAGCAAATGCTGTATAAGTTAGGAGGCTTCTGCTTTCGAGGCAATCCACTATATTCTGATAGGGAAATAACAACAACTGGTATTCTGTGCCAAGCATGTTGCAAATGTTACAACACCATCTTAAGCCTGAGTAAACTAATTTGATTATAATTCTTCAAAGTAAGAGTTAGGCAGAAATGTAAGTGTGTAAAAATATCAGAAGGAAATACAACTTAACCGCAGGCCTTCTGAAGAGAGGCTGGACCTGTAGGCAGGGGTAAAGCCACCTATTGCCTTTATTACTTCAGACACAAGCACCAAGAAGCTTGACCAACATCTCAAACCTCCCATCCAGTGGCCTGTGTTATACGCAATCTCACAGTTCTGTCTTCTCGCCATTAGTGGGCATCATCTCACTTTACACCATCAGAGGCTTTCCTGAAACCTTGAAATCTCTTCAGTCCAGACTACCTTCTCCCAACCTGCTCTGATCAGCCCCCAGCCCCACTGGACACTGACCAAAAATCAAGGCACCAGAAGGCATAGTGTAAGCGGGGTCTTGACCCTTGTGTGCTGTGGACCCCTTTGGCAGTCTGCTGAAGCCTATGGACCTCTTCTCAAAATGTTTTTTAAGGCATAGAATAAAATACATAGGATTCCAAAGGAAGCCAATTACATTGAAACACAGTTATCAAAATATAACAGACACAAATGTTTGTGTAGTATATATGTTTGTTTATTAATGCAACAAACAACAAGATCTAGCAAAAAGTTTAATTAACTACAGTCATTTCAAAGTCCTGATGAATGTAAACAGCATTTGGAAGTATTTTCAACAACTGTAATGTGACATAAAAATATCTATGATTTCAGTTGGTGACAAAGCCACAAGTACGGCTCATACTGTGGTGTTTGTTACCTTCATAATTGAAGGGAATGCTAAATTTCAGTTAGCTGAAAAGAAGATAAAGTGTTTTCTCATCCAAGTTCATGGACCCTCTCTAAGTTAACCCATGAAAAGACAGATAGAAAGATGGATCATAGAGGGAAGGCAAGAAGAGAAGGCAAATCATGGTCTTCTCGCTGTGAGCGCAGCTCAGTCACTCAATGAATTTATACTTATGCAAAACCCTGAGCCAGATACTGTGTCAACAGTTGGTACATTTAGTATATGAAAAAATGAAGGTGACGCGCTCTAAGTACTTGCGTGGAGTTTGGTGGAGATAATAACAACTGACATGCATTTTGCCCCAGCCATTTAAAAGACACTTAGTTGATCTGAGAACCCCTGAGGCAGTTCGATGTTAAGTGCCTACGGAGGTATATGGACAAAATGTCTCTTCGTTCTTTTTTGTAAATTTTTTGGTGAGGAAGATTCACCCTGAGCTAACATCTGTTGCCAATCTTCCTCTTTTTTTTTTGCTGAGGAAGATTGTCCCTGAGCTAACATCTGTGCCCATCTTCCTCTGTTTTGTATGTGGGACACCGCCACAGCATGGCTTGATGAGCAGTGCGCAGGTCCGCAGCTGGGATCCGAACCTGCAAACCCCGGGCTGCTGAAGCGGAGCCCACAAAGTTAATCACTACGCCACCGGGCCGGCCCCTTCATTCTTTTTAAAGAGGAAGGACTAGTGAGGGCTGGGTGGCTGGGGGAGCTGCAGGTGCAGCCCCAGGCACCCTCTCTCGGGGGCTGGCAGCACTCCATTATTCGGCCATTCAGTCTACTAAGCACCCAGTGCGGGTCCCACAGCAGAAGTGTGTCCTCAGGAGACTCAGGGTTCTGTGCAGACCTCAGGCTCTCCCAGGAAGTCCTCTGCCTCAGACAGACAGATGGAAGCTGGCAGACAAGGCTCCCACTACCAGCTGAGCCTCGGGTGACCTGGGCCACCATGTTGTGCCCAAAGGGAGCAAACACATTGCTCAATCCCATGGCAGCCGGAGCTTCCAGAGCAGCAGTCCTTCCCGGAAACCAGGCCACACCCTGGGGACAGAGTCCACACGTGGTTTGAGAAAAGCTGACACAATACAGTTGTGTGTTGCTTAACAACAGGGATGCATTCTGAGAAATGCATCTTTAGGCGATTTCATCATTGTGTCCTTACACAAACCTCAGTAGTGTAGCCAGCTACACACCTAGGCTACATGGCACTAATCTTAGGGAACCTCCATTGTACATGCAGTACGTCATTGATGGAAACATCATATGCAACACGTGACTATAGACTGAACCAAGTCCTTGGCTGACCCCTGTGGCCCAGGGAGCAGAAGAAGAGGGGAAACTAGCACAGAAAGGCTGAAAGGGACAAAAGGACCAAGCACACCCTGCCCAGTCATGCTAGGCTCCAACAGGAACTGCAGACACTAAAGATAAATGAGCTGCTCCCACCCACGGGGCTGGGTTGGCAGCTACGCTTAGAAGAGAACGAATGAAATTACCCTTGACTTGGTTTAAGAAATAATAATTGGAAATGGGTCAGAGTCCCAAGAGGAGATAAGAAGACCTCCCTACAGAAGCAGAAGCATTGACCAGCAGGTGAAGTTAGTCTTGAACCCTCCAAAAACCCACCAGCAGAGAACATTCTACCCCAATATCCCTGTGTCTCTTCCAAAAGTGTCATACAGAGCCACGGATCTTGCCAAAATAAGACTCTGGAGACAGGCGGGGCAATAACCCATATATGCCATCAGTGTCCGGCTCAATCGGCAGTTCTGGAGGTGGAGTCGAGTCAGACGCTAGGGCCAAGAACCGCAGTTTGCACAGGAAGGTGAGGGGAAGCCATTCCAAGGAAGGAGCTGCAAAACTCCAGTCCCAAAGTAGAAGAAGATACATGTGGTCAGTGTCAGGGGCACAGCAGCTGCCAGCCCAGGAGTAAAGGTGAGTCAAGATCAGACGGTGGCATCATGGGGACTTGGGAGGTGTGTAGTGCTGCCCTGAGGACTTCAGCACAGTGCAAGTGTCAGGTGGCGCTTCCTGGCCCATCCTCACACGTGGAGGCTCTCAGCCCACAGACACCTCCAATATGTGAAAAGCATCTCTCCTGGCCTCAATGATCGTATTTTCTGAACCAAATTATACATTTCACTAAATATGCATGTCTTCATTGGACCATAAAACAGTTTATTTAAAAACATCTGTGTCCTAGGAAGTCTAAGACATGCAATCAAGACCATTTGGGGGTCAGACCATCAGGTAAAGGGAGAGGTTGTGTCAGTCCCAATTCTTAAGTTGTAAGCAATAGAAATTAAATTTAGCTGATTTAAGCAGAAAAAGAACTCATTCATTTGTTCGTTTGTTTATAAGGGGGGTGGCATATCAAGTGGCTCACAGAATCTCTGGGAGGGCTCTAGAATCATGCTTGAAGGGCATGTCCAACAATGCCCAAAGTCACACCCATGAAGATCCCACAGCCACCACCCCCCGGGGCACAGACACTGGAGCTGGCTCCACCAACGCCACCAATATTGGATAACGGATGCTTCATGAGAACCACTGCTGGTCCTGCACGTAGAATCTGGATGTAGCTGCCATCACTGCCCACCCTCACCAGAGT